CTTTTCTCTTCCTTCCTTCCTTTCTTTCTCCCGTCTTTCCTTCCTACCTTCCGTCCGTCCTCCCTTCCTCTTTCCTTGACCAAAGATTCGTCCTCTGAATCCTCCTTATCGTAGGAAAATTGATAATCTGGATCAGCAATAACATTGTCCTCTGTCTCTGAAAAATTCTCTGTTTCTGAAATCTCTTCCTCTACATGACTATCCCAATTTAAAATCTGTGATAAAGCGTCCTCAGATGTCATCCTTCTGGAGCTCATTTTTGGTGAGTTTGTCTAAAGCCTAGCGCACATCGACAGAGTAACTGGAGACAACTAGTTGCAAGGCGGCTTTTGGCAATGATGGAGATGATCAGTTGCCAAAATCGGTCGATGTGAGCGCTCTTACAACTGGAGATAAAGTTGATCTCCGGATTCAGTCAGTTGCCCGTGTTCTACTTTTGTCCTCAGATCCGGAGATATCACCCGATGTGCGCACTCCAACAACATGTGTGTATTGCGTGTATTGCGCCCTCTATAGTTTATGTCAGAAAACACACTGTAGTTGAGGCCAGTTGCTGTCAATGTACCCGCTGTTATTCCCGAGACTGGCCTGCTACTAGGAGTTGCCCGTTTTCGCCAGATTTTCTATGTGTGCGGGGCAGCAACTCAAAGGCGACGGATATATTCAGTTGCCAGTCCGATGTACGCTAGGCAAAAGAGATGACATAACAACAGTGACAAGGACAAGTGTGAGAAAGTTCCCTCTATTCACACACCTGGCTCTGGGTCTCAGAGGCAATCAAAATACAATGTCAAAGAAACATGTTTTTTTTGGATCTGAACAACAATTTACCCACATTGAAGCGTCTGGGTCAAAATGACCCGCAACATCATCTTTGTATACAAACTCTGCACAGACATTCCACTACACATCAAAGTGTCCAGATTTTACACACCAGTTCATGACCCTAGATGAGGAAAAGTCACCAAATTCCAGCAAGAAAAAGAAAGAATAACCAGTACTTTGATCAACTCAAAAACTGAAATGGGTCAAATTGACCCTTAACATAATACAAGGGTTAAAATAATGACCCAGACACTGTGAAGTCAATGGTGCTGACTGCTCTGTACAATCTGAATGGGACATACCTGTAGCAACAGCAGCCTGTGTAGCAGAGGAGGAGGGCTGCATGTCCGAGGATACTGCTAGGCTATAGCTAATGCTAGCGCTAGCTCGATACTCGGCTCACTCACTAACCCTGGATTCCAAAGCTACTACAATACTACACTTAACACATCTATCACTGCCCTCAGAGGAGGATCCAGGGTTTAAACTCGTCATATGGAAACTCGAGCAGAAAAGGACCGAGGGAGAGACAGCGGCAGCCATAGGGGTAGCGAGTTAGCGGCTAGGCTAAGCTAAGCTAGGCTAGGCTAGTCCGGACTCTGGTCCAGACTACAGCAGACTCCAAGACCAGACAAACAATCGATACCCAAACCTCAGCTACAATAATAATAAATGAATGAAACACAGTCTTGGGATACAATCACAGATTTATTGAAAACAAAAGTAAAGTGCAAAACCAACAGTTTACAAAGTCAAAAGTACGTATGTCAGAGACCAGGTCCAGATGAGAATACTCCGGTCACTCATTACTCGTTGGTAATCTCCTCACTTATGGGAAGGGATTCTCATACAAATATACACACAACAACTTAAAAAAAGCACAAAACAGAATGACAACACATGAATACTGCAGATAATACGAGATAAAGCACAGTAGCACAGGGAGGACGTTAGCTTAGCTGCTATCGATAGCTAAATGAAGCTAAATGTAGCTAGCTCACTGTGTACAACAGACAATCGAGCATTTACACAGTAAATACATTTCAGTGAGAGCTTTAACGGGATTCGTATCTAACCAGTTATTTCCAGGATTACCACAGACTAGTCTCAAATCCAGAGCTGGTGATCTCCTGAAAACTATGTTGAGCCTCGAGCTGCCTTTGAATTCTTTCTTTGGCCTGAAGAGAGGAACGTGTGGACCTCTTCCACCGACCAGGACCAGGACTTTTGGAGCTTTCTGTGCAATTCCATTTCTCTGGAGTGAGGAGGACGTAATGTAGCCGAAGCAGAGCCGAGCAGAGCAGCCTGTTTTAAAGATGGCGGTTGAGTTGTTTTTCCCAAAGGGTCAGAGGTCGCTTCCAGTGACGACACTCGTTGACCAATCAGTGTAAGGCAGTGGGCCGACGTGACGTCATGGCACGGGTACTATGGGGATGGAACCACGGCTGAGGCAGTACGGAAAAGTACTCAAATCTCCCATTCCATCCACTAGTGGAAACGCAAAATAACTGTGCTGAAGCGTACTGTACTGTACCGTACTGATACTGTGGAAAAGCGGCATAAAATACCAACAAAACCTCCTGCAGTACTGCGAGAATCCCCCGAGCACGTGGGTCCTTCAGCTCCAAGCTAGTAATACCCTATCCAGTTATTATAGTAGATCCATGATTGTGACTCAAGCCCACGTCATACACCCAACAGTTTGAAGCTTTGTTGTTGAAAACAGATCTGTAGGTATTGATGTGCGAATCCCTACTCCAGTTATTTAAAACAGTCAAACGTATTGCCTGACTGTCTTTTCTCATTCCAAGGGAGACATTTCTTGTAACTTTTAAAAACAAGATCATTTTGCTTTTTCCCGGCAGTCAAAATGTGCTAAAATTTAAGAAATGTTTGACCTACTTTTCCTCCTTTTTGCAGTGTACAAGTTTTACACAACCAAACAAAGCACAAGATTTATTTTGTTGTGGTTTGAAAATCAGGTACCCCAGCTTTAAAACCGATGTTGTACTTTTAAACAATTCCTTTTTCGTCTCACGATGGAAACATGGGATTGCAGACATAGTTCACTTTCCCCCACTTTGTGTTATCTGTGCGTATTTGAGAAGTAGACAAATGTAACACAAATGCCCCATGACCTCACCGAATGTTCCAGAGTGACTCCACGTTGCCCTTTGAGAATGTTGCTTAAGGAAAAGTGCAGATTGTGTCATGGTTCAGGCTGCAGGAATGGCATCAACGCGACAACATGACAGGCTGACGGGCGCTGACGGGCGCTGACGGACGCTGACGGACGGAGACAGAGGCGGCTTGTCTGCAGGAAATGTCCTCAACTAAATGTTACGTTTATATTAGAACATGCTATTAGAAATGTCAGCCAAAAGTACTGTACATTATTTGTTTTAGTTATGACATCATCAAAGAGGGCCCAGCGGATGGTCCACCTCTGCTGCTGTGAGCTAAAGCGCTGTTGGTGGTTTTGAAAGATCAAAACCATGAACCAAACTACTGTAAAGTGAATGTAAAATTATATATATATTTTTGGTGAAAATTTAAGATTCAAATTCAACTCCTCCCTCTGGTGGTAGAAAAGGGAGTTACAAGCAGAACTGTTTCATTATATTTTCTACTTCAGACATGAATTATCTAATTTAATCATAAATTGTAAATCATTAATTAGTCTAAAACAGGAAATGGAAAAGTGAATAGCCTCATTACGCTTTTTAAAGGTCAAAAATAGAACATGATCTTATTTGAACGGTTAAATAAACAAATGCATTCATGGCTAAGCGATCATTCATTTAACTGACGTGGCTAACACTCATTGGTCTTTAAATTAACACTTTCCACTGAGCGGCTTAACCTAAAACAGTCATTTCAGGATTGCAGCTATAAAACCACCACTTAACACAAATTACAAATAAAACATTTATTGGAGGAAAACTTGTGAAGCTGGTAATCCTGCTTTACAGTGTCTTCAGTCCGCACCTTCAGGAGATTACTTACTTTGAAAGAAAATATGCTCTTCAGAAGACTTCTGTGTTACTTATTGACATCTGGAGATGCAGTTGCCAATTTACATAAATATTTACAAACACTTGAGAGAGATGTAAGAAAACATATTTTATGTTAGATAGGAAATATATAGAAGGAATATGGAGGACATTCAGCACACAGCCCATTGCAACCATGGATCTATGATAATAACTGGATAGGGTATTACTAGCTTACAGCTGTCTCACTCATGGGCACAGGGGGCGCCGTGGTACTGCGCCCCCTAAATTCACGTGGGCTACCCAGAAAAAAAGTCCCATATATCTCAATGTAAACTAAAACAGCGCAACCTCAGCTGACAAAGAACCTACAGCTTTCATAAAGATCGGATTTTGTGGGGATTTAAGCGTCCCTTTTTTTCTTCTTAAATCCTTTGGTTTTCTTTAAATCCACACTTTACTGCCACAAACTCTGCTCCTTTCCTTCCCGCTCTATCTCCGCTCTACAGCTGCTCTGATTGGTCAAAGCGCAGCCGAGCCCCTCTGTGCACGTGCATGAGAGCCGCACACGCGTATTTGGCGCAACGCATCATGGGAGATAATCCACTGCGCAGAACCGGGAGGACCAGACGATGCCCAAATACAAGCGAGTTCCTCAGATATGTCAGCGCCGCCGTGAAGTCTAAGCTGAAGCCGTGAACTACTGAGCACAAGCCATTCATTTGAATAGGGCGCCATCTTGGATCACCGGGGCTTGATTGCAACACAGTCTTTTATTATAAATTATATTACTTTTTAACCATCTGTTTGGAAGCATCAAGTGACAAATTGCATTATACAGAAATAATGATAATGTTTATGCAACGGTCACTTTGACCTGCTCTAAAGCATAAAAACACATGGAGGGGTTATAGCTGTACAGTAATATGCTTGTTTCGTGACCAAGTTCCTGGTGATATTTGTACAGTATTGAGCAAAAATTGGACATTGGTGAGTGAGATCAGAAGTGGAGCGAGGCGCCTGTGTAACTGATTATTGAGAGTCCAACAGATTCTTGTGTAAATTTTTCTGCTGCTGATGACAATTCGAACACTCCTTTTCTCATTGTAACGCTCCACACTGATGCACAGCGAGGCACAGGGTCAAAGTGTTAAACAAACTCCACATTTGCCTTTTCCGCAGACTTCCTTGATAACGGAGGAAATGAACTCCCCTCTGTCCTGATCCCCACATGTGCCGCGTATCACGTTCACTACAGAGGAGGAAACCGAGGAGACAGACGACAGACGACGAGACCACGACGAGGCCGCGACAAGTGTGAGGCCCTCATGCAGACAGACCACTGCGCACCTGCTGAAATACAAACAGGTTATTCAAGAAGCACACGGGCTAAATGAGGCGACCAGATTTGGGTTATTACAAAAAAGGAATGATTTAGGGAAAGTAAAAGACTCGTTTTGAAAGTGCAATTACTTCGTTTAGGTATGTTTTTGGTCTCGACTGTCGGTTTGTCTGTTTCTGTAGTTTATTTACATGAAATTATGTTTATGGAATTTACTTGATCCTAGACTGGTCCTAGACTGGTCCTAAACTAGTCCAGAGCAATCTCAGCTTTGACCAAGTGCTAGTTACCATAGCAACACACTGTTTACTTGCAGCAGGGAGCATTTAGTTTTTACCTGTTTAAGCGTGTATTAAAGATGAACACCGAATTGCTTCATTTTGATAGTAGTGAAAAAAATAAAAATGTAGAATTCCGTTCATTTGAGACTGCTCAAGTAGTTCTAGTGGTTTCATCACACAAGTTGACAGCCAAAAAATTGTCAGGGGTTTCTCAACTGATTTAGAATAATTTTGGTGTTCTGAGTCCGAATATTATTATGAATTCTGCTTATCAAATTTGATGGCGTAAATAAAAACTGAATGACTTTGGATACGTTGACTTTCATTTCTTGAGGAAAATGGAAAAAACGTCAAGGGTTTCTCAGCTGATGATCCGCAGAAATTTGTTTTTTGTGCAAAATCGATTTAAAAAAATATTTCTGTAGCAAAAACTCCTGACCTGATTGAGCAAAACCAAAGTCATTTTTGGACTCAGAGCATCAAAATTGGTTTAATTCAGCTGGAAAACCTTGGACTATTTTCAAAAAATATTTTTTTGTTACCCAGTGTAATTTTTGTCAGTCCCAGTGTTAAGTGTTTGCAGAATAAAATGGGCAAAATGGTTATTTCAAAGCATTTAAGAGATCTGCAAGGTCACTTCTCAACAATGTATTCATTTAGTTTAGGGTTCAGTTCATGTTTACAAGGACACTTTTAAGATGCATCACACACTTTTTGAGCCAATCTCGAATTCACCTTTTCTGTCTGTTTGTACATGTATATCTGTCTGTAGGTCAGTCTGTATGTATGCTAAACATGCTAAAACATGCTAAACATTTGTTGTTTTGCAAAAATCATGAGTTGAATGTAGGAGCTTTTTTTCTCCTTTGCCTGTGTCTTCATTTTGGTCATGACAACGGTTGCTAAGGAGATTTTGCTGGCATCTGGCAAATAAAGTAGTCCCTTTCCTGAGAATTTTTGAAAATGTAGAGGAAATTATGATTTTTTTCAAATATATTGTGAGTGTGTGAGTGTTTTGACTACGGTACAAACAACCCAGTTATATGTTTGTTTACATTCTGCAGAGTTACTTAAAACTTGATAGTCTCCGAGCCATTTGAAGTTCTGTCATGAGCGGCATCATGACCACAAAGTCTCTGTTACAGTTCCGTCAGTGTCAATTTCAAACCAGGCCACATCTCCAACATCTCGTTCATTCAGGACACGTATAGCCTCCAGAAACACTGCCACAACATATCTTATCTTATCATTCTGCTCCCGTCCGGCCTTTTTTTTACCGAAACAACAAAAACGGAGAATAGCCTGAGACGCCTTTCGCAGACGGGCTTCATTTCCTGATTTTAATTCCTCATGGAAACAAAAAACGACGAACCATCTCCCCGCTCGTGTGTAAAACAGGGCGTGAGTCTGCTCCACCTTCCAGACTAAAGCTTATACAATAAAGTTATTTCCAGATTTTTGCTGTTCCCTGGGTGGATTATGCCTTTGAAAAGTAATAAAATGACTAACCCTTCTCCACACAGTGAAAAGAGCTGATTAAACATTACAGTAGTTCTTTCGTGTTTTCCCCGGATCAAACCACAAAAGAGTTGAGCCCTGCGGTATTAAATATATCTGGTATGACAACAATTTCCCATCGTTTTTTTGGGAGGCGAACCCAAGGAAACGCTTGGACTTGTGTCTGTGAATGTACCCGATTGTCTGCGTCCAGTTTAATAGTTTCAAGAATCCCTTTTTTTCTCCCCTGAACGCCGGTGCTCAAATCAGATTAGAGCCCTCGGACAATCTGGCTGTGTCTGCTGTCCGTCCGTTTTGCACGTTCGGGCCGAGGTTCCCAGGGTTGTGCGGGGTTAAAACACCAAACAGTGAAAAAAGGCGAGGCTTGTTGCGTTGTTTCAGCTCGTTTTGGTGAATTCCTCAAAAACTAAAAACTTTCTGTACATGAGGAATATGTTTAAAGAAGCAAATTCATGTGCATTTATGGATTTGTTATGATTTTCTATTTTGGGATTATTTTTTTTTTTTTTGGTGGCATGACTATTTTTTATAGAAGTATTGGATTTAAGAGATTAAAACTCATCCAACAACAGTGAGTCTAGTCTAACCCTGATCTTTGTACATAACAAGCACTTTTATTCTCAGTTTTTTAACATGTCAGTGATGTAGTAGTCTTTTATTTTAATCTTCTTTTTTTTTACTTTTTTAGCTCTGTGGATTGGGTGACAGCTGACTGCCACCTCCCCGACCCAGAAATGGACAAAGCGGAAGAAAATGGATGGATCAACTTTCATTTTTTTCTTTTTTTTGCTTTCATATTTGCATTCATTGTATTATTTTCATATTCGAATTGTATTGTTTTGTCACATATTTTTGTGTGTAATTTTGTTGATTTTAATTATAAACGACAGACTTGGATGATAATTACTATGATTGTTACTACTACAGTTTATTCTTCTCTGTGCAGCACTAGGGAAACTGTTTATGAAAAATATCCCCATTTCCACCAGACCTACTTGGCCCTACTCTACTCTACTCTCTATTCTACCCTGACTGGTCTTGTTTAACCGGTACCAGGCACTTTTTTAAACAGAGATTGCCCAGAGTGCCGCTAAAAGTCATGGTGGTAATTTCCCCGGATACTGATTTGTTGTGAGTAGGTTGCGAGGTTACAGTACCATCTATCCATCCGTAATGGAAACACAAGAGCCGAGTAGTGTAGAGTCAGACCAAGTAGGGCTGGTGGATACGGGGCTTAAGCAAAATAAATAAAGTCGAATGGACAGGAAGTGGAAGCCGTTTTGGCCTATTTCCCAAATTTTTTCTGAAAATAGTCCAGGGTTTTCCAGCTGAATTATACTAATTTTCATGCTCTGAGTCCGAAAATGACTTTGGTTTTGCTCAATCAGGTCAGGATTTTTTGCAACAGAAATATTTTTTTAAATCGATTTTGCTTAAAAAACAAATTTCTGCGGATCATCAGCTGAGAAACCCTTGACGTTTTTTCAGTTTTTATTTACTCCATCAAATTTGATAAGCAGAATGTAGACGTACGTAATCCATAACACTATGGCTGTATCTGAAAAAGTTGACCTGATAGAGCAAAATGCATGTGATATTCGGACTCAGAACACCAAAATTAGTCTAAATCAGTTGAGAAACCCCTGACCATTTTTTGGCTGTCAACTTGTGTTATCTGTTATTATTATTTATTTATTACTGGGACAGTGCATATTAATGAACATTTCAGTAAATATGCCAGAATTATCCCAGCAATTTTTCATCTGTAGTACCAAGCAGGAGTTTTTGCCTGTTTGACCAGACGAACAACATTGAAACCCAAAACAGTTTTAGCATCACAAATTAACCTGACACGTGTGATCCAGCCGCTTGAGGAGGAGTTTGGGTCGCAGCAACTTTTATCCTTGTTATCAAAGTGAGCGATAGAACAAGGAGACGACACAGAAAGTCCAGTCTTCATAAGGGAAAGGTATGCAGCGTGGAGGGAGCACATGAGGAGACCTGGCGAGTTTATAGGGCGAGATAATGACACCACCCCCATGCACAAAAACACCAATACTGCTCAGGACAAGACAAAAGGCCGAGGAGGTCCCAGAGGCTGACGGGACGACCCCCTCATGACCCTCACAGACAGGAAACGGGAAGTACCACCTCTGACCTTTCCTACAGGGTTTGAGGCCACGTTACAGCTGCACGTGACCAAGTCTAATCACAGCGAGAGACGGGACTGGGGATAAGAGAGGATGGGAAAGGGCCAAGTTATGAGCAATTAATGAAGTCTTCTACGGACTGAGCTGATTCAGTCTCATCCAAAATATACAGAGCGTTTATGATTAAGTAAGTACTGTAATCTTTATTATATAGCGCCTTCCACAGACCAGAGTCACAAAGAGATTTACAATTGTTGTAGGTATTTGTCTCTCAGACCAATTGTGCATGTTTTTGGTGGGAGTGGAAACCGGAGCACCCAGAGGAAACCGACACAGACAGAAGCGAGAGAGCTATCCACTCAGCCCACTGATTTCCTAACCCTTTTTCCAGTCATTTTCTCTTCTCGTTGGTTCCTGAGATGAGAGTGCTCCAGGACACTCACATTCGTATGTTTCGATCGTCTAATGACCACCACCTAATCGGCAATGTCCAAGAGAAAGTACTCCAAAAGTATTCATCAAACCATTTAGCTTCACCAGGCTCTTTCTCAGCACTGGCTAAATCACAATATTTCATGTACTTTCAGACCAAGAACCCGTTGGTGACACTTTGTTATCATAATAATGTTGATAATATCTTAAGTATATATGAGACGTGTTGGAGTGACTTGTGGTAATTTATCGTTCTAAGTTTACTCTTCGAACAATATATACTGCATTATAATTTTAATCCTGGAAATATCAACCCTCTTGTACATCTCACATGCTTTTAATGAAGCTGTGGATTTTCATTTATTCATCCATTGAGCGGGATCTTAAGAAGCTATGAGTGACGCTAAATGGGCGTTCACTGTTTTCTACAGCGGCCGCTAGTGATGTTGCAGGTTTGCAATTAAATATGCAGTTTTATATATATGATGCTCTATTCTCTTACATGAAAGCTAAGAATTTCCTCGACTCATCAAGGTGTGTGTTTTGAATGTTGTATTTAGTATTTAGCAATAGGACAAGGATGATACAGAGTCTACTCTCCAGCAAAATACATCAAAATGCATCACCAGTAGGCAAGGCAAGGAAAGGCAAGTTTATTTGTTTATAAGTAAATTAGTCTGAGCACAGTGGCCAGATGCGGCCCTTTTTGACCTTTCTATCAGGCCCCTGAGCCTGATGTATACAGTATAAAGACTGAGATATCTTGGTGCTGCATGCAGAGAATAAATCTACCAACAATGAAAATCAGTGTATATAACAATAAAAAAACAATTGGATTAAAACTTAAGTGAAAATCCAGAGCATTAGGTTTATTTCTTTGATAGAGGTTAGGGTCATAGGTGATTTGGTCATAGATAACGTGGTCATAAGAGGAGGAAATATTGCAGCAGTATTTCACCTTTCTGTGCACAGCCATGTTACAAGTCACTTCAGCACAATTCAATGCTGGGCTCTCAACATCGAAACACGCACCCCTGCTCTGCTTGGCGCTAATCGAGCGTTGAGTGCGGGGGGTTTTATAGGCCGGCTGTGTGGGTCGTGGCTTGGGACAGGCCGCTAAGAGGTGTTTGTGGGAGGGGGTCTGAGGAGTGGGTGGCAGCGCTGGTCTGGAGACTTGGACCTCATTAGTGCAGGGTCTAATTGGGAGGAATAGGGCCCTCACATGCTCTGTCTGACCCCCACAGCAGGGGTCGTCCCGGGCAGAGGGAGGGGGGGCAGAACTGGACAGATTCCAGGAGGTAGAGAACCAGAGCTCCTCAAAATGCACAGAAATTGATAATATAATGTCATATTCCTGCACAAACTAGAACATATTTACCATGTAGGTTACATCCAAGGACAGTTTTTCATTGTAATGAGCCTGAGCATTGACACAAGCAGTGAAAGATGTACGTGGAGACTATGAATAGGATGGATTCATAATGTTTTTTACTTGTCAATGCCGCATGTCCTGGCATAACAAGCGCATGTCCCTACATTACGCTTACAGTTTGTTACGTGCGTCGCTGGGTGTACATTAGGGGTTACAAGCCAAAGTTATATTTAAAGTTGCTTGAAAATCCACACAGTTGGGGAGCCTTTTGTCTGATGCCATGGTCAGTAATGCAGGAGTTCCTCAGGGTACGGTCCTGTCTCCGTTTCTGTTCTTGCTGTACATCTCTGATTTCCAGGACAGCTATGAGTCTAAATTATCCTGTGATAAGGAAAAATTGTGATCCTACTCGTCCTACTACGGGCGGCACGGTGGCTGAGTGGATAGCACTCTCGCCTCTCAGCAAGAAGGTCCTGGGTTCGAATCCCGGTTGGACCAGGGCCTTTCTGAGTGGAGTTTGCATGTTCTCCCCGTGTCTGCGTAGGTTTCCTCCGGGTGCTCCGGTTTCCCCTACCACTAAAAATATGTACAATAGGTCTGGCATGTGCCTCCTGTACTGGCCCCACTCCCAAAAATAACAATTGTAAATCGCTTTGAGACTCCGATGTGCAGTGAAAAGGCGGTATATAAATAAAGATTACTTACTACTACTACTACTACTACTACTACTCTGACCCAGTTGTTGTTAAAAACGTACAGTCTTTTGATGATTAATGTAAACAAAACTATTCAAGTTGTTGGCTCTGAGGACAAAAACAAGCCGTATAAGCATTGGCAAAACCCGCAAGAATCACATGGGTTCGACTGAGAAACCTTCACTCTCTGTGTGAGGAGCAGTTAAGATGCATCCTGGATTAGCCTGATTCCTTCTGAGTTTGGACTGATGCCTTCAGGGCCTCCTTTTACTGCTCCACTCTGCTATAAAACTGTCTAAACTCATTCATCATATTCTAATTCATGCTTTGTTTGTTGGGTTTCCTGATGTGAGAAATGGACTGAATGTCTGTGAGTGTTTTAGAGTTAGAATTGCTGGAAATCAAATACCCTGTGTGTGCGTGTCTGTATGTGTAGGTGTGCGTGTGTGTAGGTTTGCGTGTGAGTGTGTGTGTGCGTGTCTGTGTGTGTAGGTGTGTGTGTGCGTGTCTGTATGTGTAAGTGTGCGTGTGCGTGTCTGTATGTGTAGGTGTGTGTGTGCGAGTGTGTTGAAAGTTGGTTAAATTTAACTAATATCTTCCGTTTCCAGACCTGACTTTGATTGTAGTTTTCAAAAGGCCAAATATTTCTTGTGTTAAAGTCAGAGAACCAGCACACGAGGTTATCCAATTAATCCTGGTTCCTGTGAAGCCGTGAAACGCAGCAATAATCCACAAAAGCAAAGTGACTGTTTCACATCTGACTGGTGTAAAGTGAGTGAGAAACACGGCCTCCTCTTGAGGTCCTCTGCAGGTGTCACACTTCATTTAAAAAAGCCCTGAAGCTCATTCACAAACTGGGCTCCACAGCTCTGCAGCGGCGTGCACATAAAAACAGACAGGGGGCAGTAAATAACACTTCAAAAACACAGACAGAGCTGCAACAAATATCATTATTTTTGAGGGAAAACAGTTGGATTTCTTGCTTGTCTACTGCCACTAATACAACAGCTGCTGACATTACAGGGCTCTGCAAACTTTAACCCGGAAATAGACATG